CAGTCGCGTTCCCCGGCACCCCGAAGCCTGCTCAGAGCGACCTCCCAGCTCTGGGCGTGCCATGAAGCCCCTCTCCGCAGGGTGCTGGGGAGGGGGCTATGAACAGCACTGGGTGGGAAGCGTTGATTAGGTGGCTCTGATGGCCCTCGCTGCCCAAATCCAAGCCGGTGGAGGTGCAGTTATTAGTGGGAGCCCAGGCTGGTCTATCTAGACAGCTCCGCCGTAGGGAGCTCTCGACTAGCAGGACGCATCGGGGCTGGCAGGGAGCAGACCTGCACACCCAGCGAGGGCAGGTAAAGGCACAGCACGACCTGCAGCAGCTGAGGCACAAGGCATCACCTCCTCCACCCTGCCCTAAGGACGTGAGCTGGGAGAGAGCAGCAGGAGAGCATAAAAAGATACGGGAATCTCAGCGAGCCTGGTTGCATCCCCTTGGGCCGCTTGGAAGTATCCTGCCCCCCCGCTCGGGCAACTCGTTACCTGAACACCGTGTCAGTCCACTGCCATAGCTCACGGTGGCCTGTCTACCCTGGACCCCACCGCTGGCTGCCCGGGGGAAGCCGGGGAATAGAGTTGTAGGCTACAAGCTGTCTGAAGCATTCATAGACACCCCCCGAGTTAGCTGCCTTGCATCGAATTCACCGCCGCCGCCAATCGATGTGGCTGCTTATTTCTCCGCTTTGAGCCCAGGCCCCGGGCATCGTCACGGGGCCGGAGGAGAAAACGGCTGCGTGCGCTTGGATGTGGTGTCAGCTTGCGACTATGATTTCTCTTGCCAGCCGTGCAGCGGGGGTGACGCCAGCAGAGGCAGGGCTCCCCTTGGGGCACGGAGCGCAGCATGCAAGTCTCCTCCTGGGGCTCAGGGAGGTTCAGGCCGTGGCTGGAGGTGCGATGCAAGCAAGGACCCTGGCCGCTTTCTGTTTTGCGGGCTCTGAGGAAAGCAGCCAGGCTAGTACGGGGGGGGCAGGCTGACAACTGCATGGCTCCGAGCCGGGGCCTGGTAGGCATGCCAAATCCGTCTGAAGAAACAGCGCCCGCTGCAACATTGCACCAACTTGGCAGAGCTGATTAAAATAGGGAGCGGCCTGAGAAAAAGTGAAGCGGGCTCTCCTTGTGTCCGTGTCTCTGAGCAGGCAGGAGGGGCTCCCTGCAAGGTGGGAGCCCAGGGAAGGTCTCTCTCCATAGCACGAGGAAGGGCAGGGCTGACGGCCTGTTTGAACAGCTAAGGGATGTCACCAAGGTTGTACAGGGAGTCGGTAGCAGGGGATTGAACCTGTCCTTCCCAAGGCCTGGCAGATGGGAGTGAGACAGGGCGAAGGGGGGCCCCCAGGCTGACTCCCGCTCCCTCCTTCTGCCCATAGTAACCAGTCCTTGGCAAGCAATGGGACATCCGCGTTTGGGGTTGGGGGCTTCATGCCCTTTGAGTTCAGCGGGACGCTAGCCGGAGCCGCCACCTGCTTCTATGCATTCGTTGGGTTTGATTGTATTGCCACCACGGGTAAGTGAGAAGCGGGGGGCGTATGCGAGCGCCAGCCCCAGTTACACACAGGGACGCTGCCCCGAGCTGCCGAAGGCATCCTAGTAAATGCCAGGCTTAGCATCCAGGAGCTCTGGGCTGGACCTGCTCAGTCCCAGCCCAGTCCGAGTCTTTTGCTGCATTTGGGAAGGTGGTGAGGGTCCGGAGTGGGGGCGGTGGTGCTGCGGCGGCCGTGGGACCATGTGAAATGCCCACGTTTAACCAGCCAGGCTTGTGTTTCCCAGGGGAGGAAGTGAAGCACCCGCAGAAATCCATCCCGCTGGCCATCGTCGTCTCCCTCCTGGTCTGCTTCCTGGCGTACTTCGGGGTCTCGGCCGCCCTGACGCTCATGATGCCCTATCACCTCTTGGACCCCCTGAGCCCCCTGCCAGCGGCTTTTGAATACGTGGGCTGGAGCGCGGCCAAGTACGCGGTGGCCGTGGGCTCCCTGTGTGCCCTGACCACCAGGTGAGGAGGCCATTTCAGGGAGGGGATTTCTGCTGCTTCCCTCCGACTCACTCGCACGCCATGGGCACGCTCAGCTTTCTGGCTGGCTATCAAGACCCCTGTCCTGGGGTCTCAGAAAAGAGGTCATCCAACTGAGGGTCAGGGAAGGCCGTGTCAGACGGTGCATCCCGGGTCTGCAGTGATTTCAATGGCAGCCCCTGGGGGAAAGACCGAGCTCCGTGACGCAGCTAGGGTCAAAATAGCGTGGCAAGGGTCAAAGGCCTGGCCCAACACACAGCACAGCTCAGCCAGAGAAAGGGGACGAGCGGAGGAAGGCAGGCGGCTCATGTCCCTGTCCCTCCTCCTCCGCAGCCTGCTGGGCTCCATGTTCCCCATGCCACGCATCCTGTTTGCCATGGCCAGAGACGGGCTCCTTTTCAAACCTCTGGCCAAAGTCAGCAGCCGCCAGAGCCCTGTGGTCGCCACCCTGGTGTCGGGGGCAGTGGCAGGTAGGTGGGTCTTGCAGCAGCGAATGCCACGGGCTCCCCAAAGCCATCGTTCCCACAAAGCCGCCTCTCGCCAGGAAGGTCTGTGCAGCAAACCGGACGGGGGTCCAAACCAGGGTGAACCGTGGTGAGCCGCAGTTAGAGCCGAGGGCGCCGGGGACCCCCAGCTTAGGGCTGCGTGGCTTATACAGGCTGAGACGAACTTTGTCTTTCCAAATCGTGGGGGTCTTCCCAGCGGCCAGCGCTATCACCAACGCAACCGGGCCTCCGGGCTCGTGGTCTTCCCCACGCGGTGTCCCAGGCCAGTGGGGACTGTGGTGGTGGCCCCAAAGACAGGAGACCTGTCCTCCAGTGACTCTAAGGAGAGACCGCCGAGGCCTCTTTGGCCGGCAGAGGTGCGTCCTAAGGTCCGAGCCCCGGGCAGACACGAGATCCCTGCGGGCCTGATTCGGTGGCTGGAAGCTCACCCTGCCTTGTGTCCGCAGCTGTGATGGCCTTCCTCTTTGACCTGAAAACCCTGGTGGACATGATGTCCGTCGGCACGCTGCTGGCTTACACCCTGGTCGCTGTCTGCATCCTCCTCCTCAGGTAAAAGCCGTGGAGCAGCCCTGGCCGGAGAAGTGGGGCAGCTGTGCCCCGCGCCCCAGCAGGTCTTGGCTTGCTAGACTGGGGTGCAGCGTGGCTTTCAGCGCCGCAAGGAGCAGCCTTGCTTCTCCTGGGTCCCCTTGCTCGGGAAGGGGTCCTACAGCACGTCGGCCAGGGCTGCGGCCTGGGGGCAGTGCGGCCAGGCCTTCCCAGTCCCATGCAAAACGGACGAGGTGCCCCCCGCATCTCCCCGCGGGGTGATGGGAGAGCGGGTCGCGGTGTCCATGCAGGAGGCTGAGAGAGAAGCGCAGCCCTCACCCGTCCTGGCCTGGCGCCTCTTTGCACAGGTACCAGCCTGCATCTGACTCGCGGGACCCCCCAGATGCCAAGGGGGTGGCCAGAAAGCTGCAGCTGGACTTGCTCCGCCGTCCACCCGTGCATCCAACTCCGCGCTCCTACAGCCTGGTGTCCTGTGCCGTGACACTCATCGGTACACGCTCGAGTCCCTTTCCTTGCTGCTTCCCGGGGTGCTGTGCTGGAGCTGGAGGGAGGCTCGGTTTGGGGGTGAGGGACTCCCTGGCCATCAGCCGGCTCCTGAAAGTGTCTGCGTGGTCCTCTCCCCAGCACTGCTGGTGTGCGTGGCGAGCGCCGTGACCGTGGCTGGGCGGCAGTGCCTGGTCTCTGGGGAAGCCTGGTGCATCGCTGGTCTGGTTCTCCCTCTCCTGGGGATTTTGGGGGGGTCCCTCGTCATCTGGAGGCAGCCTCAGAGCAAGAGGCAGACATCCTTCCAGGTGAGCCGGAGGCCTGGCAGCTCTCGGGGCCGTGTCCGCGCAGGGGGAGGAAACGCGGCGTCCTGTTCTCGTTGACTGCACTAGGGTCCCTGTGGCTGCCGCCCCTCTGTCTTCCCGCACCCCGAGCGCTTGTTGCCCCCTGTCTCCGTCCCTCCCGATCCCTGGTGCTCTGAAAGCCCCCGTGCGTTTGCCCCAGGTTCCCTGCCTGCCCTTCCTGCCTCTGCTCAGCCTCCTCGCCAACAGCTACCTGATGGGCCAGCTGGGCACGGACACCTGGCTGGGGTACGCGGTGTGGATGGCGATCGGTAAGCCTCGTTTCAAGGGGCTTTGAGGACCGAGGGGGTTGCGGGCTGTCCGCGTCCGGTCCCTAACCCCGGTGGCACTGCGGCACAAAACATCGTGGCCTGGTCGTGATAGACGCCCTCCACGCGCTGCTGCGTAGCTCTGCAAGACAGACACCCCCTCGCCCGCTCCCCGCACGGCCACCGCGTACTTGTCTGTCCTCCGGGGAGGCTTTCCGCGTGGGTCGAGGAGACGCAGGGAAGAGGGAGGACGTGGGGCGCTGGGAGGACAAAGCCACCCATCGCTGCTCTGCGCGTTCCCAGGTTTCCTCATCTACTTCAGCTACGGCATCCGTCACAGCGCCGAGGGACGCGAGGCAGAGCCAGAAAGCGCAGCCGGCCACGCAGCGGATGAGACGAGGAGGAAAAACCGAGTCTAGCAAGGCCGTGGCTTGGGGCGATGGAGTCGACCCCAGGCCGCGGGGTCTCTGTAGGTGCAGAGCCCTGATAAACCCACTGCTGATTTTTCTCTAGTTTCATTGTTTCCTAGTTGTCAGGGGCTGGAAGGGACCCTACAGACCGTCGCTGTAGATGTGAGTACCGGCCCTACGGGACCCGCCTGGGGGGTCCTTGGAGCCCACGCTGCTTGGAGCAGGGAGAACAGCCAGGCGCAGGGCTCGTCGTCTCTGGGTTTCACCGCCTTTTCCCTCGGCACATCCTGGGGCCGCCCCCCCTCGGCCCCCTGCCCTCTCCATCCCATGCCTGGTCCGGGCTTGGACGAGAAATGCAGGAGGTGGGAGCTGTTGTTTTAAGCCCGGCGCGTGCTTGTCGGAGCCAGGCGCTGAATAGCGCCATTCACCTCCCGGCAGGGACCTGGGCCCCGTAGCAGGCGGGTGTGAAAGGGATTTTGTTTAAAGAGGAAAGGAGGCGAGCCTCAGCGTTGCTTTGAAATCTGCCCCTTCGCCTCCCGCGCCCCAGCCCCTCATTTGCCTCCCCTCGAAGCCCGGCTCGGCCCTGGGAGGGAGCCGAGAGCGTGGCACTCGCTGCCCCGAGCGTGGCAGGCCACCCCGCAGTGCCACCATGACCCCCAGGGCGCTGGCCGTGCTGGGCTGCCTCCTCTTCCTCCTCCTCTGGGGTAAGTCTGGCAGCTCCTGCGCTGCCCCCAAACCGGGGGATTTCTTCTCCCTCCTAGCACGGGGCTTCTGCGTCCCATGCCACGAGGGGCTCGGCAGCATGGAGGAAACACAAGCCCTGCTAGCCCCTGACCTAGGCATCGGGAGCCGACTTCTTCCCCCAAGAGCCTGGCTGGAGTTTGCCAATGGGCCCCAGCTCCATGGGGTGGTGGGATGGGCAGCATTGCAAAAAGCCTATACCAGCCCCTTCCCGGAGACCCTCTGGCAGCCGCGGACTGTCCGCCCCCGAGTGCCTGGTCTCAGCCAGGTGCTCCCCACACCTGGGAGCAGCCGGGGAGGGGAGATGGGGAGCGACATCTGCTATGCCCATGGCTGCTGAGCAGAGCGCAGGCGAGGCCAAGGACCTCCATCCTCCTGAGCAGGACGGTCGCCCAGCCGCGGCCGCTGCAATGGGGGGCTGGGTGCGAACACACAACACAACCGTGCAAAGGCTGCTCACAGCCAGCCCCGGGTCCAGCGTCAGGTGCCCTCCCCTGCTACTGCTGCTGTGGAGCAGCGGGGAGTGCCCACATCTGTCACCTCCATCAGGCAGGCGCGGGCAGCACCCATGGGCTCCATGCCCGGGGTCCAACGCCTGCCCTGCCACTGAAAGTCCTGTGCAAGGGGAGGCCAGGACAGGGGCACGTAGACCCTCCGGCCCCCTGCCTGGGGTATCCCTGACTTTCGTCTGTCCCCCCAGCGGAGGGTCAGGAGAAGGTGCAGCGCCCCCAAGCCCCGGAGAAGAAGGCCACGAGAGAGTCCAAACCCCGGGTTGCCCAGGGCATGGGCAGGAAGGCCAAACTGGTGGCACCCAATACCCTGCCCCCCATGAATGCCACAACTGCCCCCGGCGCGGGGAAGCCACCAGCCTCCATCCTGAGCCAGGTGGTGGCACGGGGGCAGTTCCAAAAGGTGCCCGAGTCCCTGGCACTGCGAGCGGGGGACGCGCTGGAGCTGCGGTGCCGGGGCCGGGCGGTGCGGTGGAGGTACCCTGCCCACCTGCAAGATGATGAGGAAGGGCGGCTCAGGTATGTGGCCCTGGCCCTAGCCCCAGGGTCGGTACGGGGGGAGAAGGGGCTGCTTGGGGTCTGGGACCCGGGTGCAAAAGCCCTGTCCAGGGAGCTTTGAGGAAGTGCACGGGGAGAGGCAGCCTGAAGGTGTGCATGTGCACACACACAGGGATGCCCCAGCCGTGGGCAGATCTAGGAGTTTGCAAAGGCGGGTGTGGAGGGTGAGGTACAACATGACACCTGTTTGTCTCCTAGAAGCACAGGGCTGGATGATTCGGTTTACCATTGAAGCAAAAACCAGATATAGCCGCATTGCAAGGCATTAAAAACCAGCCTGTGGGGCTGCCAGGTAGGAGCGGGGAAGGGACAGCAGCAGGGCAGATAGCTGGGTCGGCGGGACGTTGGGAGCACTAGAAAGGGGACAGGGTCGTTAAGGCCTGTGGCACGGAGAGCTCAGAAGGGATCGGGTAGATGACAAGGAGCCATGAAGATAGCTGCCGCTACGGCCAGGCACTTGGTTTGGGTGGAGCAGGATTGAAAAGGGGTACGAGTGCAGCAATGCACCCCTGGATCTGCCCCTCTCTGCCAGAGCCGTCAGAAAGCAGGAGGTCCCTTGCCCCCGCGCGGGTAGAGAGCCAGGCCACGGTGCATCTCGGCTGCAAGCGTCCAAGGTCCTTTCCACGCAGCCAGGGGCCGGGGAGCCTGCCAGCATCGCAGCGGCCCGGCCAAGCCCCTCTATCCCCAGGCACACCGAGCAGGCCCCTCTCTTCCAGGGTCAAGCACTATGCAAAGTTCAGCCAGCTGCTGGTGGTGAATGCCACGGCCGCCGACACGGGTGAGTACAGCTGCTGGTCCCTCCAGTGCCAGGACAGCCCATGCCAGGAGGGCGAGGACAGGATGGGCAAGACCTTTGTCTTCTTCGCAGGTCAGGGGTCCACAGGGGGATGCCAGGGGGAGCCCATGGGCTTGCTCGGATGGGTGTGTGGGTCCTGCCACCCTCGGCAGCAGTGAGCTGTGACGACGCAGAGCGCCGGGTGCTTGTGTCGCGCTGCAGCTGGATGGGGGCTTCCCCTTCTCACGCCAGGACTTGATGGGTCCTCCGTGCCCCCCCAGACCCCCAGGAGCTGTTTGTCCCCACGGAGGATTACTATGAGGTGGTCCAGCTGCGCACGAACCGCCCCACGCTCCTGCCCTGCCAGGTGACCAGCCCACTGGCCCGCGTGACGCTGCACCGCGAGTTCCCCCCCGAGGAGGTGCCCGTGGACGGTCGGGACATCTCTTACGACGTCCGGCGCGGCTTCACCATCCACCGCTCCCGGCCCTCCTATGCCGGCTCGCTCTTCTGCATGGCCAGCCTGGGTGGCGTGCGGCAGATCTCCACCAAGTACATGCTGGTCTACATCAACTGTGAGTGGCACCCACCCGCCGGGGTCCCAGCGAGCCCCGCGGCCCCTTGCCAGACCCTGCTCTGGCTTGGCTGTGAAGTCCTCCACATCTGGCCATGCCAGCATCACTAGGCCCAGCTCAGCTCCCTTGTCGAGGCAGCGGTGCCATGCAGGTGGGCACAAGATTTGCCCAGGGCAGCGCGAGAACGTAAGAATAAGACCATTAGAGGTGCCACGGACAGGGTCAGGCCCTCGGTCCATCCTGCCCGTGTCACGCTCATGCCCTTGGGCTGCTTCTGGACAGCTGTTCTCCCAGCCAGCCGAGGTAGAGTCGTGTTATCTGTGTGCACTTGGCCATCCAAGCCCTGGGGCCAGGGCATGGCACTCCCCGGGCAGGCAGGCAGCCCCTGTGGTCACAGAGCACAGGTCCTGGCCATGGCAGCTCTCCCACCCTCCCCCACGCAGGCCCACCTATGATGCCCAGAGGCACGGGTGGCTCATGCCAAGAGCTCAGAAACCTCCCAGGGCCCTGGCTGGAGGCTCTGCTCCTCTGCTCAGGGTCCAGCTGATGGCTGAGCTTGGGGCCGGGGAGGAATTTGTGCCCCCAGATCAGCCTGGCATGGGCTGGGGGGTGTTTTCCCTTTCTCTGGTCCTAGGATCCTCTCCCACAGAAGGGCAGGGTGTACCCCCACTGGGTCCAGTCTGGGTGCTTTGCAGTGATGGCAGAGGAGTGGCTGGAGGGGATGGTATTTAGCACCTGGGAACACAAAGGACTGGCCTTAGGGGTCCAGCCTCTCTCCAGGGGGTTCTGCCCTGTTGAACCTCACTCCTTCCTTCTGGCCTTTGCAGACCCTTCCTCTGCCCCCAAGCCCACGGTGCGGGCATCGGGCACCTCCGTGCGGGTGGGGGAGAACTTCAACGTGACCTGCACGGTGCTTGGAGAGCCGGAAGTGGCTGTGGCCTTCACCTGGGAGTACCCGGGGCAGAAGGTAGGGCAGCTGGCCAGGGCTTTGTATCTCCAGAGCCCCTCTTCACTCCAGCCGGGATCCAGGGGGCCACTGCTGCAGAGACAGAGACCCCCAAACCTGCGGTGAAGGGCTTGCTGTGCAGACCTTTGCAAGGTCGGAGCCAGGACTAGCATGCCAGCCTACGAAACCCTTGGCTCCCTAACCCCTGGCCCCCTGAACTCCCTTGCTTCCTAGATGGGCAGGCCGCCCTACGTGCGGGAGCGCACGGACCTGGTGCGCCGCGGCGGGCAGGTGCGGCAGGAGTCCAAGAGCACCCTGTACATGGACGAGGCACGGGACGTGGATGCCGGGCTGTACACCTGCCGCGCCGAGAACCTGGAGGGCAGCGCCAGCACCGCTACCCGTGTCCGCGTGCTCCCGGCCCCACGGGGCGGGCGGCCTGGCTAGCCTGGGGGCTTGCGGTAATACCTCCCCGGTGGCTGCAAGGCAGGCTGGGGGGGCTCTCTGCCCTTGCTGGCTCTGCCTCTGCATTTGCTTATTAAAATCACTGGCTTTAAACAGGAGAGAGCTGGTCATCTCCCAGCACACGGGGGGCACCAAGGGTGCAGTGAGACTGCCCTTGAGATGATGACTGCAGCCGGATCCTCCAGCACCAGGGGCTATGCAGAGCTCAGCCCCTGCTGTATGCCCAGCTGGGGAAACCCAGCTCTGTGAGGGGCAGGGAGCTGGACAGATGCTCCAGGAAAGGGGTGCGGTGGGAGGATGCACCCAGGCAGCCGCGTGATGACCGTACCGTGCTGCAGCAGCTCGGACAGCAACCTCACCATCCATGCAAAACACTGACGTTGCATTGGCTTGGTAATGTCCTGCAGACTTGTATTCTCACAGCCCGGAGCACGTGCACACACGCACACACGCATGCACGCATACACACACATGCACACACTATCCCTGGGGGAAGCTCTGCAGCTGTTAGTGGTGCAGCAGCCTCCCCACTCAGGCTCTCCCTGAAGGATGGGCATGGAAAGTGCATCTCATAGTGTGGTGCCAGTCCCCCGCCAAGACGGAGGCCTTGCCCAGCCCCTGCCACGTCTCTTCTGCACAGCGTCATCCCATCCTATCCCCGCCTGACAGCAGCACCCGGGAACCTGATGCCGGCCATCGGACAAGAGCAGGGCAGAGGGCATCAAGCCTGGCAGAGATTAATCAATAGCCCCTGCGGTTCTCCGGCCAGGAGCAGCAGGGTGGCAGAGCATGGAGTGATGCTGCTTTATACACGTGGCGTGTACAAATGCCCAATGAGATCAACTCCAGGGAGGCCCCAGGTCTGGGGCCCCCCGTCACTATGCCACGGCCTTGGGATGGGAGGCTGGACCTGCTTCTTGCGCCCTCTTCTGCCTGTTGTAATGCCAGGTTCGGTCTGGCAGTGTTATTCGATCGCGTCAACACATGCAAGAAGGGAATCAGATCTCCAGCGCTGGGCTTTGGCCTGCTCTCCTGCCCCCACCCCCCAAGAAGCTGGGCTGCAAGCAGAAAGGACAGGACGGGGCAGTCAGGTCACCTTGCCTGATCTGATTTTATTCGCCCCACACCACGCTTATGGCTGGGGGGTTTGCTAGCGGCTCAGGTTTTTGGGGATCCTGATCCCTTCAGTCACAGGCTGAGCGGCTCAGGGCGTGCAGCCGCCAACACGCTGCTGGTGAAGGCTGAAGCCTGGGGAAGGGCGAGGGGAGCTGCTCGTTTTATGTACGGCTACATGCAAGCTCAGAGTCCCTCTGGGCCCCTGGCGTGTCAGAGGCAGAGGAGGAAGTGAAGGAGGAACAAAGACCGAATGCGGATAGCCATTCTTTAACTCCCATGAAAACACCTAGCAGTTCCCAGGCACCAAAAACTATCGCTTCACTGCAAAAAGAAAAAGAGCAGCTTCTTTAGGAAATAAACAGGCAAAATACTCCTTAAAGTGACTTCCCAAGCTGCCCAGGGCTTTCCAGCAGGTCGGCTGGGCCCCAGCCCTCCCCTGCTCCTGCCTCCTAGCACAGAAAGGGAGAGACCCAAGCCGTGCTGGGGCACAGGGGAGAAGGTCCTTGCCCTCTCGTGCCGTCCATCATGGGCCCCCCGGGTGAGGTGGGAGTGCAGTGCTGCCTACTCATCCCACCACGTATGGGGGACAGCAACCCTCCTAGGTGCAAACCTGTAGAGAACCAGGCTCTGGGCCGTCCGGGGGCTGCTCCAAAGCAGGCTCATGGCTCAAGCACCTGCCCCCTCCTGCAGAGCTTCGAGCCCCAGTTGCGGCAGGACACGATGCCAGTACATCTCCCTCTGTGGCTGGTCCTTGCAAGAGCTCAGCCCTCACCCCCGCACGCCTGAAGCCGCCACGGAGCTTGTGGCTACGTCCCTGGCTGCTGGGGGGAGCAGGAGAGGTCCAGCAAGGAGGGATGGGGTGGAGCAGGGGAGCGAGTCTCCTTCCCCAGGAAGATGGGGGAGATGCACGGCATCCTGTGGGCTTGCGGAGAACGCCCGCCAAGGCTTCCAGGGACATGGGGAGCAAAGTGCACGGGGAGGGGAAGCCGCTGGGCAGCGAAGGAGCTGGATTTTCACACACACAGAGCCGCTCTGTGCCAGGCTGCAGGCCAAGGGTCTCAACAGGGGATAAAGAAGGGGCCAATGCAGCTCTGAGGCAGAGGGAGCTTTCAAGCAGCCTGCACCTGGCGCTCTGCCCCGTGAACGGGCACCACCCAGCCTCAGCCCAGGCCCTGGCTTCTGGGAGCAAAAGGAGGGGAGCCAAGCCTCCCTTTTGTCATCCACTCCCCATGCTCCTGCCACAGGGCCTCGTGGCACCAGCCGACAGGACAGTTGGGCCCTGTGGATGCAGAGAGAGATGGACATGAGCCAGGGTCAGACCCGAAGGCACTTGGACCCAGAGCCTCCCAGTTCAGATCCACCTCTGGTTCCATGTTCACCGACTGATGAAACCCAGCCTGGGTCCCCTTCCCAGACCTGCGGCTTTGCTGCCCCGTTTCCTTCTGGTGCTGGGAGCCAGCGGCTCCATTTAGGCACGCTGGTAACCCCGAGGCTTGTCAGTACACGAGGGGCCCGTGGCTTCCCCCAAGGTCCGAGCCAGGAAGGGGGCACAGAGGAGATGGGCAAAGTCCATAAGCAATGTCCTACAAAGGGCTCCCCCATCACTGCAGGATGACAATCCCCCTCAGAGGCTCCAAGCCCCCCGTAGCAGCCAGGGGACAGTCACAGGGGCCACTGCTACGTGGCTATAAGGGGTGCCTCGGCCACAGGCAGTGGGAAGGTGGGGGGTGCATCGCCATTGAGGACGCGGTACAGCAGCTCCTCCTTTTCCCGGTGCACCTGCTCCCGCAGCTGCGACTCCTTCTCCAGCGCACCCCGCGTGGCCAGCAGCTCCTCCGACAGCTGCCTGCAAGGGGACAACAGGGGTAGGGAGGTAGGGGATGGAGCAGGGAGGGCCAAGGCAGAGATGGGCTCCCCCCGTGCCCGGGTAGTGATCCTCAAGCAGGGCGATGCGGCACCCTAGGGTGCCTGGAGGGCCTTTTGAGGGGACCACGAGATGCCATGCAGCGTTAGCACTGGGGAGGTGGGCAGACAGGATTCACAAACTAAACCCAGAGGTTTCAAACAGTCATAGGCTTGCCCAGTTCTTTGCAACAGAAGAACTGCGCTAGTATTTCTCCGTCATCAAAAAAGCAAGTGAAAACTAAAGAGCTGGTATCTTCCAAGGGGTCTTGAGTCTAATGGGTGGCGGTGGGCAGCTCATGTCAAAAAGACTGAGAACCACTGACTTAGGGGCTGGTTCTTGTCCCTGCATTGACCTCTGTGCAGTGCCTGGACCTTGAATGGACTTGTGGTCTCAGAGCCACATGCATCCTACGTACTTTTGCATGCATGCCCGCCAGATACACACACATCTCCCCCAGAGCCACTATTGTGCATGTACATACACCCAGGCACACATCCCCCAGAGCCAGGGTGCTCCAGAGTGTGCCACGCACACTCGTGCTCCCCAGAGCCAGCATCATGCATGTACCTACACCCACTTCCCCAAGCCAAGGGGTGCTCTATAAGTATATACACCCCTACCTGTGCACCACACACACACACACACACACACACACACGAGCCATGATCATGCATGTACCTGCACACACTTCCGCGAGCCAAGGCGTGCTCTATACGTGCATATACCCCTATCTGTGCACCACATACATGCACACACAGGCTCAGCCAGTGCTTCCCCACGTGGTACAGTGGCACCCAAGCACCTCTCCGGCCAGGCAGTGCCCGTGGTACCCCATGCTAGGAATAGCACCCCCCCACAGCACACTGCCAGCCCATGGAGCCTGGGGGCGGTAAGAAAGGGGGATGGTGGGAGCACCGGCTTGGGGAGAGCAGTTACCTGGTCATGATCAAGTGTTTCTCCGTCCGAACTTGCAGGTCCTCATTCTCCTGCTGCAGGGCTTTCACCTTCTCTTCCAGCTGCAGGTTCCTTTCCACCTAGAATAAGCCACACGGGGTTGGGAAAGGGGGATCTGGCAGCTGGGAGCCCCTTTGAGGGGCTAACGAGGCCAGGTCCAACCTCCGCCCTAAAGTGGATCTGTGACAAATGCAGGCTCTGTGTGTGCTTGGTGGTGCGTGGCAGCATCTGCTGCATGCCAGCCAGGGGCCAGGGCTGCAGCCTCAGCTTATTAGTGTAACCCTCTCCGTGTTGGCTCAGCCCCCTGCCTGCATGTGCTGGAGCCAGGGCTCCAGGTAGGACTCTCAGAGCCAGGGGACGCGTGCTTAGAGACAGCGGCGTGCGCACCGCCGGTGGGGGACCTTCCGGTCCACCCCAGCAGCCCTGCCAAGCAGCCATTGGACCCACCACAGCCTCCAGGGTCAGCAGCTTCTTGTCCAGGTGGTGGATGCGCTCGTTCTTCATCTCGATGACGAAGTGCAGGCTCTCCAGCTCCTGCTCCCAGAACTGGCTGGGGATCCCGTAATCCTGGGAAGGGGAGAGAGGGGGCATGCAAAACTCTGCCTCCGACGCCAGGGTGGCCTGTGCATGGCCCTGGCTTGAGTCCCATCCTTGCATGGAGGCTTGGGAGGACAAAAGCCAGAGATGATCTTTACACCGTGTGCTCCCTGCCGTGCACTCCTACCCCACACGCACTTGTGCCCACAGTGGAGCTGGCCACGCCAATGCAAGAGCCCAGGGTCACCTGCATAACCTGTGCCTTCCCAGTCTACTCACTAAAGCCCTGCTTGTTTCCAACAGGCTCCCAGCTCCCCAGGCATGAAGGGCATGGGGAACCCCACTGTTTGCCCTCACATTGGTACCAAAGCCCTGATCCCCCCAGGCTCAGAGGCTGCCGCTTGCCCTAGCACGAGGCCGACAGCTTTGCCCGAGGTCAGCGGTATGCAAAGGGCTGTGGAAATGCAGTCCCGAGACCCCCAATCCTCTCGCTCTCATGCACCTGCAAGTGTTTCTTGTAGTCTTGGCTCAAGATAGACTCCTCCACCCGCTTCATTCTCTCCTGGAAGGATTTCAGCTGGGAGTTCAGCTTCCCGATCGTCTCCTAGGGCAGGAGGGAAGGGCAGAGGTGGGGGCAATTAGGAGCTCTGAATCGGAGCCACCTCTAAGCCAGCCCCCAGACCCTGCTGCCTTAAGTCTGCTTCCGAGCCATCCCTCATGCAGAAAGGAGATGCAGGCAGCAGCCCCATAGCAGAGCAAATAAAGGCATGGGTCCCTGCACAGCTTTCATGCTTCCCTTGCTCTGAGCAGGTCCACAGGCTACGAGAGGGGAGGGCAGGCAGAAGCCACGGGCCAGCACCTGTAAGGACGCCTGGGTCTGCTGGTAGGATTCGGTCAGGAGCAGCTTCTCCCGGTCGTACGTCTGCTGCAGGTCTGCAGGGAACAACACGGACAGTCAGGGGAGAGGCGACTGCGAGGGGTGCCTCGCGGATAGCATTGCCAGCAGGGCACTAGGCTGTGCCCAGGGGCCCTGCAGTGTCCTGGAGCTGGGAGATCCCTGAAAAACCAGGGTGCAGACAGCAGGCTGATGGCTGCGAGGGGACAGGGGGGAGATGCCATTGCCCAGCACAACAGGACAGCTGTCTGACAGCATGCCAGATGCAGGCGGGCGGTGGTAGGGGCACAATAGGCCATGGTCCTATGCACACCGTGTGTCCCGTGCCCTGCTGATGGGCAAGAAGAGCACCAGGCCGAGGTGGCCCCAGGGACGGGAGAGAGCCATCCCCATGCAGACCCCTACCTCGGAGGGCTTCAGCATGCTGCCGCTTCAGTGCATCCAGCTGCTGCTCATGCTCCACATCGCTCTGCCCTGGCACCTAGAAAGCAAGTGAACAACCAGTCCTGCATGCCCACCTGAGCTGGCTCTCCTCATCTCCAGACCTCTGTGGGGCACAGTGCCCCTGCCCCACACTGCCCAGACCTGAGCAAGTCCCAAGCTCCAGGGTGCTCAGAGGCCGGCTCCAGTCTCCTCGGGCTGGGTAGATGTCTCAGGCATCGCATGCCTTGTGTGCCTAGCACGCTCTCACGCTCCCTGCCACCCCGGCTCTGCAGGCTGAGCAGACCAGACAGTTCACTCAGGCCCTCCTGGATGCATGCAAGGAAGCCCCAGCCCCTAGGGCCGCCTGGGTCCATGTTTCCCCCCACCCCATGAGGGCTCTGGGGAACCATGCAGATGGTGGCCAAGGGGCTCTCTGTCTGGTTCTCCAGGGGATGATAAAGGAGCCAGCCTGGCCCAAACTGAACCCCATCCAAAACATCTCCATTCCCCTTTCCCCCGCCCCGCATCAGGCCCCAAAGCAAAGCACTGTGGATAAGGACACGTGCTAACGTCAGAGCTGCAAGCACAGACACAGGACTGGCGGATGATCCCTGGGGCACCCCAGAAACCCCCCTGCACGCAGCAGCTGAAGGCACCTGCTCCATCCTCGGTGGCCAGGGGGAGCAGGCAGGTTGCCATCCCTGCAGGACTGGGGCTATTGAGTGATGGGCTGGTGCCTGGTCCTGCCCTGTTCTCCCTCTGAGCCATCGTGCAGGGCTAATGCCATGGCTGGTAGCACCGAGACATGGGACAGGGGCTCTTGGCCCATGGGGAGCTTGGGTCCCACCTGGCTCCCGACACCTTGGGTCAGCCTCTCAGCCTGGGTGGCCGCCTTCCCCCTCCATCTCTTGCCGTCTTCCCGCTGGCCCCGCGGGAGCTTTGCCGCCAGACTCCTCTGCTGCTCCAGCAGCGCCGCCTTCTCCTTCTGCGCATCCTCAGGCAGGGGGGCTGCAAGTTAAATGCAAGCAGCTGAAATGCCAGGGGCTGGTTTGGCAGGGGGGGGGGGGATGGAGGGGGCAAGGACTCTTCTCCACCCTGTCCCAAGTCCAAGGGCGAGTCCTTAGCAGCCGCCTGCGCCTCACCCTTTGCTCTCTTTGAGGCCGTCAGCTCCTGGGACGCTGCTCCCTTTGCCCGGGGAGATTTCGGCTGTCTCTGCTGGGAATGAAAAGAGCTGGAGTCATGCAAGGGGAGGACAGTGGTAGAGGGGAGGCCTGGGGCCAAAGGACGGGTTCAGAGAGGTCCCAAGGACAGTGCGACGTCATGGCATTAACAGGGCGCAGGCTGCTATCCCACCTCTGCTTCTGCTTGCACAGGGGTCCCTTCCCCGGCGCGGTCACAACTGCTCGGACTGGAAGCTCTCAGGCCTGGGCATTCGTACGGTCCCCTGAAAACCCCAGAAGCACCCCTCCACCCTACTCCCCAAAACCTGGGGCAGCCCAAGGTGGGCTGGGAAGCGAGGGTGCTTGTGTGCCGTTACCCCGACATGCAGCGATCCCCCCCTCCACCCCTGCTACAGAGGACGGACCCTGGGCCCTCCCAGCGGGCACGAGAGGCTGGACCACACACACCTGCTTGCATTACTGCTGCACTTGGATGCACTCGCCCTCCTGCCTGGCTGCGGCGCTGGGCTTACGAGCGCTTGGCACCGAAGGCAAAAGAAAGACCCACGCGTGCATCCTTCCCTGCTCGCATGCACGCAGCCCAGGCCTCCCCCTACACACCTCCCCAGGCAGGCTGGAGGATGTGCCTCATCCCAGCACTGGCATGGCGGGGGACAGGACCAGCGGGATGCACGACTCTACCCTGGCATAACCAGGTGTCCCCATAACCCCATCTCCCCACCACCCAGCACCATTGCCCCAGGGCCTCTTGCTGGCCAGTCCCCAGGACTGGGCCGTGGGTGCAGCTCGGAGCACGACGCCTGCAAACGCTGCACCTCTGCTGCTGCTTTTTATAGCCAGGCTGGGAGCCCAGGAATAGCTGAAGCTGGAGGCCGGAGCCTGGCAGGCCTGAGAAAAGAAAAATAAGAATAAATCAAGGGCGAGTGCCGGGCCCAGCCAGCTCCTCAAACTAATCTGGCACCAGTGCAGACAGTGACATCAGGAGCAGAGGAATGCTTTGTTTTAGCATTGCCGGCCTCCCCCCCCAGGCCGGCGGGAAGGGCTCTCACTGTCCATCCCTGCACCTTTATATAGCTCAGGCGGAGGAGCTCACTCGGGGACGTGGGCTCAGCGGGTCATGTTCCAGTTCCCGGCTGCTCCGGGTTAGCCGCTGGCAAGATGTATTTTTAGGTGTCGGAGGAGGAGCAGGGGTGTCTCGCCTTCACTGCAGCCCCCCTGGGGGCCCGATGGCATGGATGTGGGGTGCTCAAGTGTCCACCCGTGGAAGCGGCAGAAGGCTTGAGCCCCATGGTGCTGAGGGAATGAGCACTGCAGCTGCTGTTTGCTTCCCCTTGCTCCCAAGCCCAGCTCAGCTAGTTTGCAGCCTCCCCCAAATTCACACCCGCTCCCCGCTGTGTCCGCTCCGAGTCAGGCTGGTGGAGCCCCGACGTATGAGAGGACAGCGGGGCGATTTACCACCTGCACCAAATGGCATTGCTGAAAGCAGAGCTCACCCCAGCTGAGGGTCTGCCGGCATCGGGCATGACATCTCCTAGAGCAGAGCGGCCCCTGGCACCACTGTGCCCTCAGCCCCGAGGCCAGCTTCTGCGACAGGGAGAGCAGAGGACCGAGAGCTGCACCGATGCTGCGTCAGCTAGGGAAAGCTGGTGTTCAGGGCTTTGCCGTGACACGGCTAGGGACACTCCTGACAGGCGACGGGAAGGACTCGCTGTATAAAGAGCCTGGAGCATCCTTGGACCACTGTGACGTGCCCAAAGGTTTGGCCACGAGGGCCCAGGCAGACACGGAGCCCGGCGTGCTAGGCGCTGTACACAGGCCAGCAAAAAGGCGATGTGCGCACGCTCAGCATCTGTATTGCTTTGAACCAGACTTGGGCAAACTGAGGCACGGGGGGCCAGCTGCTGTGCGGGACGTGCGGCAGATTAAGTAGGGAGCAGGCAACAGAGTGGCAGACTGGATGGGGAGCAGAAAGCAGAGCAGCAGATCAGGCAGGGGAAGGGGATCGGAGTAGCACTCGGGTAGGTTTCGGGGCTCATTTGTGGCAGCCTGCCCAAAAGGTTGCCCCCCACCACCCCACTGTTTTAAATAGCCTTTCACGCCCCTGCACCTTCAGACAGATTCCTCTTCCAGGGCAGGACATCCCAGTCAACTCGGAGAGGGAGCAGGCAGTTAGTCAGCAAGGAAAGCATATACCAGTAAATAACCCAGAGCTGGTTTTTAAACATGCGATTACAGGGAAACCGCAGTCATCCGAACCGCGAACTGCAGAACAGAGGCCCTGCGAAGCTGCCCCCTGCGGCTCCCACCCCCAGTTGCCTTGCGGGGCACAGGGGCAGATCTGGGAGGGTTGGAATCGGGCCGGTCCTGCCTTGAGCAGGGGGCTGGAGGGGACGGCCTCGTGAGGTCCCGTCCAGCTTGACTTTCCTACAAACTGGGAACGAACGAGTGCCAGGCAAGGAGGATGTGCTAAGCCGGGAACAAAGCCCCCGGTAGAAGCGCTGGCGCTGCCCTGAAGAGTAAACAGTTCCCGGAGCCGGCGGGCCAGGATTGCATGCCAACGCAAGTCCAGGCACTGGGTGGGGAGATTGCAGAGGGCTCTTATCCGTGGTTTAAAACCAAGAGGGACCATTAAATCATTGGCTCTAGCCTCCTGTATAACCCATTGCACCTGGCAGTCCCCACAGATCTTCCCACAGGAGACCTGGGGCAGGTGCGAGAGCACGCAGGCCTGGAAAAGGGGCAGCCGCAGTCACAGGAGGCTTGCTGGGCTGCTTTGGGACAGGCAATTGCTCCTTTGGGGCCGGGCGATGACAAGTCTCCTCTTAGATCTCTCTCTCCATGCCTCAGTTTCCCCCCACATCAGGTCTGGTCATGCTCAGGCAGCCCCCGCCGACTCCCCCCTGCAGCTGCAGACCTCCTGTACAAGGGGCTCATAGCCAAGGACATGCCAGCCTGGACCTCCTTGGCTGACCCTGGGCAAGACGCTTAGTTTTAGCAACGAGGGAACCTCCCGCCCGACGCTCGCAGCTCCTGCACCGGGTTCCTGGTGCTGTGCCGAGTCCGGCCGCGAGCGCTCGGCGCTTCTACTCTGGAAGTGTCCGACCCGTCCTGCACAGGCCAGCAGGCTCCCTGCCACCACCGCATACCGAATGCGAGACGGAGCCAAGTCCCAGCCGAAGCAGCAGCACAAAGACTAATAAAGCCTGTCCAGAGCCCACGCCGGGGGCCGGCATCCTTCTGGACAGCCCTAGAAGGAGTTTGCAACCAGGCTGCTCATCTGAAAGAGAGCGAGAGAGGAGGAAAGGGAGGCTGCCCTTTGCCGCACCTCTCCCGTGAGCCCGAGTGTGCATCGAGGGGGTCGGGGCTGCCCTGGCCTCGCAGAAGGAGCTGGAGACCTGTGCCAGGGCAGTGCTGCATTCGGGCACCGGCTGCCTTGCAACCTGGAGAGCCCCACGTGGGAACAGAGAGAGCCCGCAGGAGCCAGCACAGAGGGGACGGCTCCCAGCTCCGCTCCGAGGGGAGCGAGGGACCGTGCTGACCCGGAGACTACCAGAGCCAGAGCTACGTGGGGTCTCCTAAAACTGTCTCTAGGCCTCACCCTGTGCCAAAGGCTCCCGCGTCTCTGTGATGATTGCCAGGGCTGCTCTGAGCACAGGGGGACTGTGAAAAAGTGACATTTTTCTATGCGGAAGACTGTTTTCTTAGGGGCCAGGCTGGGACAGGGAAACGAGCTCCCACCACAGCAAGGACCACCCTGGCCTTCCCCGTCTCCGCTCCAAGGGCAGGGCACAGGGCAGGGCTGGCACAAAAGGAGAGTTGAACCCTCTCTCTCGTGTGCACCCCTCCACTCCCTGCAGAGCCGAGCAGGGAGCCACTGACTTGCCCACGCAGACCAGACGCACATCCACGCACCGCTGGATGATGCTCAGATCCCAGGGGAGGCGTGCAGGCGCCCAGGGTTTATCAGAGGCCACGGGCGGGTGTCAGATTGGCTGGCATTGCCACGGCCTGAGTACAAGCAATGGTTTGCTGCTGCTGCAAAAGGACACAGGACAGGATCCGGGCCTGCCTGCACTGCCGCGTGGCTTTGGGTCTCCTGCTCTGCTCAGCTCAGCACAAGCCGGCACGTGGGACAAAGGGGCCCAGCCCAGCACGCTTGGGTCAACGGGGTCTTGTCTTCACCGACAACATCTGCTCTCTCGGGAGACTTCCAGCTGCTGCTCTCATTTCTGCACGGACCAGAGGCTGCTCATCCTTCAGACCTCGGTACCCAGAGCCTCTCTTTCCCCTGTGGGCATCTACAACCTGGAAGCAGGTCTGTTAGTCACATCTGGACACTGCTGGGCAAGACCTAAAAACCCCATCCTCGGCTTGACTACAAACCGAATGCCGGGGCCGACTCTTTGCGTTCAGCAGCCATGTTCGGGATGCCCTTCCCCGGCCAGAGCAGACGGGCCCCCGGGAAAGGAGAGGAACGTTGCTTTGCTTTATTCTTCCTGCCTTTCAGTTGCCCGGTGAATTCTGCGCCCGTCTCATCTACCCCCCGAGCCCTTTCTGCACCGAGTAGTGCTGCACACAAGTCAGGGGACCCGTTTCCCATGCAGAGAAGTAGCTTCCACGGAGTTCGATGGGCACCGTTTGGACGGGACTGTGCTTTTAGCAGACTCAGCAGCAGCACACATCGGGATGGCTCAATCCAGGCCGCGCGATCTCCGATGGACAGTCCTGGGTGGTGCCTCTGCACTAGCTGCCTGGTAGCTGATCCCAAACCAGGGATCTTGTGCACTGCACAGGGTAAAAAGACCTTGGAGATTACAGCAGGATTGGAAGGAGTAGTTCATAGGTGCAAACATGCTCTCTCTGGTTCCTGGAGCATCTCCTGAGGACTGTGAAGGTCTTTCCAAAGAGAGTATGGGTCCAGTGGTCCATGTGAAGGGCAGAGAGCTCTGTCCAGCTGCAGCTGCACGTAGAGCTGGGTAACAGGGCTGCCCAGCTGGTGTTTGCCTCAAGGCAAAGGATTTTGGGCAGCTCGAT